TTTAATTTATTTTGTATTATTTATTTTATTTTTTAATTTTTTTTTATACATTAGTTTAAAGGGCTGATAAATGCGGAACCGGTTAAGTCTATCTGCCGCTACAGCGCTTTTCCGTTAAACACGCGCGACCGGGCGCATCTCAAAACACGAACTGAAAAGCGAACTGAAAATGAAAAGCCGAAACCGAAAACTCTGCTCCAGCATCCAGCAGCTGGCGAGTTATCCGAAGCAGCCAAAGTTCTGTTCGTTCGTTCATTCGTCTATTGAACTTCGGCACAACTCGGGGCCTTGGCAGTGTTGCCCCATCTGCGTGTCAAATAAAGCTAAACTAGTCTTTCCTATAGGAAAATAATATATAAAGAGGCAGCAAATTGGAGCTATGTATATAATTTCGGATTTGGACAAAAGAAAAAAATAAAAAAGAAAAGTTAAAGGGTAAAATAGAAATTTTAAAATTAAGAAATTTTTAAGACCATTGAAATTTTAACTATTTAAAGCTGGCAGCCCTTCTAAGTAAAAAATAAAAAAAAATATTTTATTTTGCCTCAAGAATACATTTGAATAGAAGGTATTTAAACCAGGGAACGTAAATAATGATTATCAATATTTTCTTCAGACAAAAAAATCATCCACTTGGAAAAGCCGCAAAAAAAACGAATTATAACAATCGGCTACAATTCGGATGATCTTTCAAGATTGATTGCTAAACTCTAGATTTTTATATATTACACCAAGTTTAAATAAAAATTTTTAAGCTTTATTAAATCCCTCAACGAATAATTATTATTATTTTGAGCGACAAAATATTGCTTAAAATATAATAATTATTTCGCTCAATGTGTTTTTTTGGTTCGTCTGTTTTCGATTCATAGAATCATGTACAATTTTTTTCAAAGAAACCTCTTAGAAAGAAGATATTACATATTTTGATCAAAAAAATATTGCTAAAAAAACATTATTTTTTAAGCGATATTTAATCGTTCAAAATAATTATTCTTATTCTTTGAACGGTTAAGTAAATATTAAATTATAATTATTAATGGCAAGCAAAATATATTAAAATCAATAGATAATCAGTAAACATTGATTTTTATTTTTTCACTTATAGTGATTACGTGCTCTGACTTAAACATGCTATTTATTTCTGGAAGCAGCCAGGTCCGTTTTCAAATTTGAAAAATATTAAACAATTTTAAATTTAAATAAATATATAATAAAATAAATAAGACTTATTGCATTAAAATAGAAGGTTGCAGATCCAAAACTAAGCATTAACAGCTCGTTCAGCAATTTATCCCTCATAATCTTTAAGGGGGTCTTCTCATTGGGCAACTTTTTTTTTTCGATTTTTTTTTTTTTTGTACTTATTTATAGCTTGGGATGGTGTGTATATGTCCCCAAAAGGATTTTTAGAAATTCAAAATACTTTAGAAGATACAGCCTTTTTGTGAAGCAAGATCTATGCAAAATGAGCTTTTTTCAAACTTCAAACGCGTTTATCTCGAAACCACGTTTTTCGAACTGGCGGCCATGATATCTCCAGTTCAACTGAACCGAATTTCATGAAACAAAGTGGAATCGACGCATAATTGTCACCATTTTCGGTTGACGGAACAGATTTAAAAAAAAAATTTTTTTTCTATTTTTTTTTACACTAAACTACAAAAAAAACGCCCGAAATCGAATATTTTTTTTTGAATGGCCGCCATTTTGTTTTACAAATTTAAAAAAAAAATCTGTTCCGTCAGCCGAAAATGACATCTATTCTGATTATAACCCCGTTTTTATTTTTCATTTCGGACGCTCTGGAGACCCTGAATCGTGGCCGCCAGGACGACACCTTTTTTTCGACCACCAAGTTTGAAGTCTCATTACTCTTTTGAACAACCCTCGTATCGAGGCAAGAACAACTTTTTTAGTTACTTTGAACATTTTTGAATACAATAAATAAAAAAAGTTTTCAATTATTCTTTGCGTTTTCAAATAAGAATTTTTTTAAAAAGGGTCCAAAAAACGGCTTTTGAATGAGAAGACCCCCTTAAATCTAAAGGAAAAAAAAAGCCAAGTTGTCAGCACTGTGCCTTGGCCTCGTCGGCTGTCGGCTTTTCACATGTGTGGGAGTCGGACACTTGCCGAGATAATAACAACAGAGAGCATCAACAAAACAGAGCGGCCAGAATAGTGGAGACTCGGAGAGTCACCTGGGAGAGTATTAAACAGCGGGTAAATACCGTTATTATCTACCGGTAAAATAAACAAAACAAAGGAAATCAATAGCATAAGCGACTAGAGAATGCCCTATTTCACACTCTAAAACTAATGACTCCGAATATGAATGCACCCTTTTAGGATTATCATCATTAAAAATGACAAACAATTTTATGATGACATAAACTATCATTTAGCAAATTGTTTTCATCAGAAATTCTGGTTTTCAGACCAAGTTTAATAATATGTTTAAGTAGCTTAAAACATCTAAAAAAACAAAATCAAATTAAATCACAAACGAAAAAGAGCGCGAAAATACATCTGCCGGGACTTTTCCCAATATATTTGGAGACTTTTTCATCCCACTATTTATAACTTATAAAGCTAAGTTTAACAAAGCTTTTAAAATGAAAAGCGCATGCGCTTTCAAATGTTTGTTAAGGAATAATAGTGGGAACAGTCCTTGATAAGAAAATATATCCTGTCGCTAAACCCAAACTTAAAGCTTTTTATGTGAGCTTTGCAGGAATATTAAATAACAATATTATCATAAGTAATTAAATATTTTAGACATCTCGGCAGAAATCGAGAGCATTTTTCTGTTAAATTGATTTTTTCTTATCCTTGTTTAATAATAATAACTCTATATATTTATTTTAAATATTGATATTTTTTGTAAGGAAAAAGAAGTTCAGTCATTTTCCCAATGTGAAAATATATCCAGAAAGCCAGTAGAAAATAGAAAGAAAAACGAAAAGTATTTAAATTTTTGTCTCTAAAATTCTTAATTTGAACACAAACATCCAGAGCAATAAAACTAATTATAATTGAATTGAAATGGGATGATGGCAAGACCGAAAAATTTAATGGTTGAGACAAAGCCAGGAATATTGAAAAGAGAAGCAAGCAAGCCTCTTATAATAATTATCTTAAATAGGCGAATGTAATTACAACAAAAGAGAGAACAATGAAGATGGTGGCGATGATGATGATGATGACGACGATGATGCCTTCCCCGTTGTTTAACCATCCCCCAAACCAAATAAACAAACAAACAGACGCCACAACATCACTCGAGAAGCGCGCGCCACACTGAACTCTTCAGAATATATATTCCTATGGAGGTGGGGAGCGGAGGGAGTTGGAAAATAGGAAAATGGAAATGAAATGGGGGAAGCGGTGGACCACCTCCATTCTCCGAAGATGGGTATCATCGATAAGTGCATGTAGCAAGTGGGCAGATCTCATTTGTGGCCCCAATGCCAATACTGACTACAACTGTCATTGAGACATTGAGTGCAAGTGCTCCGAGTGGAAGTCTCTTTCTGGATCCGGATTGGGATCATTATAGGCAAGTTCAAGTGGATCGAACCCAGCCCTTGAGCGGTCCAATAATGGCTAAATCTTATCGGTGAAGATGAAAGCAATTAGGAAAGCCAAAGAAAACTCTTTCGAAGAGCAGTATCAAAGGGGTTCAAAGCGAAACTTTGGAAATGCCAGAAACTTATTTTTATACCCTTGCAGGGTATTATAATTTCAGTCAGAAGTTTGCAACGCAGTGAAGGAGACGTTTCCGACCCTATAAAGTATATATATTCTTGATCAGCATCAACAGCCGAGTCGATCTAGCCATGTCCGTCTGTCCGTCTGTCTGTCTGTCCGTCTGTCCGTCTGTCTGTCTGTCCGTCTGTCCGTCTGTCTGTCTGTCTGTTTCTACGCAAACTAGTCCCTCAGTTTTAAAGCTATCTGAATGAAACTTTGCATATAGTCTTCTATATGCTCTCACTGCTATATATGTCGGAACGGGCCGGATCGGACGACTATATCATATAGCTGCCATACAAATGTTTGATAAATTTTTAGAAAAAAAGTATAACTTGGCTGTTTTTCAATATTTTTGCATCATTTTTGAGATATAGCCATTTTATATTATTCCAGAATTTTGGTAAAAATTTTATGAAAATCGGACGACTATATGATATAGCTGCCATAGGAACGATCGAGAAATTAATAGAAATAAAATTATAGCTTCGTTGTTTTTCAACGCATTTTTATTTACTCTGAGATATACGTTTTTTTTATTATTCTAGAATTTTGGTATAAATTTCATAAAAATCGGACAACTATATCTTATAGCTGCCATAGAAGCGATCGGTAAATGTATAAAATATATAAAGCTGAGAATGTAAAACTGTAACTGTCAAACTGTAAACATAATAAGTATAGGTAAAATGTAATGAAACTCTGTTTTGTGAGTGTTTTCAGCATTTAAATCTATAAAATAAACATCAAAACCAATCTGCAAGGGTATACAAACTTCGGCGTGCCGAAGTTAGCTTCCTTTCTTGTTATAAATAGAAACCTCAAAGGAAATGGAAATATACAAGGTCAGTTGCATTACGAAAACCAAAAGCGATCAGATCTCTTTTTTAAAAGTATATCTTAGGGTAATTTAAACTGTACTCATAACCTCTTATTTAATTAATTAAAAATAAATATATAATTTGCATAAATTTTAGTACGAATATCTGTTCATTTTATATTTTCAAAATTCACCGATAATAACTCCTAATTGGCCCCACTGTATCTCTTGACTGCTCATCATCTTTCTCAGTTTATTCGCAGATGTTCAGGCAACAAAAGAGAAAGCCGTTGAACTTTTCCAAGAAAATAAACAGTATACGAACACTGCATAAATCTGTCAAGTGTCGTTAAATTGTTGCAAAATAAATATATCATTATGTCAGCAGCGGGTTGTATTGAAAACTCAAAAACTTAAATCGTAAACTTACCTTGAACATCAATGGATTGCGATCAATTTCCGACTCGGCGTTTTCACAAAGTGTTTCCGTCTCCGAGAGAAATGCAAGGAACTGTCGAAAGAAGTTTTTATTAAGATAAGAGGAAATTAAAGTAAATCAAATTAAGACTTACCTGATCCATTGCCCGATCGAACGACTGTAGGCTATGGACAGCTGCATGCAATTGCTTCCCACGATTGACGACTCCATTGTTTAAATTGGCATAGCTTAAAAAGGAGTAAAATATTTATCATTTAAATCTGTGAATATAACAATCATCCTACTAATGCTCGCTTTTGTCTTTCTAATACTATTGCAATACTACTTTGAAGAGCTGGAAATAAATCGATTTTAAGTGCATCGATTTCTTTTTTTGAAAATGTAAAAAATAAATCGATTATAATCGATTAAAATCGAAAACGGAAATCATTTAATTTATATATGTATTTCTTATTCTAAGGTTCTTTACATTGTATCTATCGATATTTGTATTTAAATTTAAGCTTTTTGGGGTTCTTCACCTTTTTACTAGGTCAGCCATTTTTATCTGGAATACCTAATGCAAGAATGTAGCGATTCCTAAACGAGCTCAAATTATAATTATAATTACAACTTTGTTCAACTTTGTACTCTTCCACGAGTTTACACAGAACTTTTTCGATTAAATCAATTCTGAAAACTTAAATTTATGTATATATCGCATAATTAAAAAAAAAATAGATAAATCGATTATAGAATCGATTTTATTTCCAGCTCTACTACTTTGTTATCAAATATTTATCTTAACTCACCGCTGATTAATGACCTCCGTCATCTTCTTGATCCTGGTGGTATCATCATTCGGATACACTGCAATCAGTTTCTGTGTCAGCTCATTGAAGATGTCAAAGTGTTGTTTATTCTGGTGCAGTTCCGCATGGAAGGACTGTCAGAGGAACAAAAGATGATTACAACTGAGGGTGGAGTTTAAGGATAATATTCAGTTACTTTCTGCTCCTTTTGCTGCGCCTCTAGGATGTCGGCTGTGGTGGCAATGGTTCCCATACGCTCTGCTCTCTGCTCCATCCGGGCCAGCCACTTCTCGAGCTCCAGACGCTTGGCCTCGAACCTGCGGTTAATTGGTAGACGGAGAAGGTGTCGGGGGTTAAGCAGCGGGTTAAGTGCGACTCAAGTGTTAACCTACCGCTGTGAGTCGCTCAGCATGTTCTTCAGTTGGGCAGCTCGCTGCAGGACACACTGCGAGGTCTCGTCCCAATGCTCACGCAAGCGGGTGACTGTGGATGGAGAAACTTAATTAGTTGCATATTCACTCCATGTCTTTAATATCCGGTAAGTCAAAGTTAAATAAAACCATATTAGGTATCAATAACTAAACAAAGATTAGCCAGAGTTTATCGCGTCGCTTTTCGGTTTTATTTTTGTTTTATTGCCCAACCATGCAATTTAGTAGGAATAATAAGGAGTAATAACTTTCGTTAGCAATTTGCTTTGTCAGCTTGTCGGCTTCGGGTTCGTGTGTGTGCTGTTATGGGTTAAGCTTGGAGCCCTGTGCGGGAGGCAGGTTTGGGTTAAGTTACAACACAAACACACTCTCTTTCTGTGGTGTGGTTACCTTTCAGACAGCAACGCATATAATCTAAGTCCGCTGAACAGTGCGGTGCTAGCGAAAACTGATTCAGCTCTACGAGGTCGAGAATCATGAAAAAACAACATAAATGTTAAGCCAGAAAATATAGAATAATATATTTTTTATAGTTTTCCAGAGATTTTTGTTACAGGAATGGTTTAAGAATATAAAATATAACAGATATTGAATTTATTATAGAAGCTGAAACATGTATTTCTTTACCGTAAAACGGTAAAAAATAATAACTTAACCTGACGCTTCTCTATTGAAGTGGAATGAATCAATGATTAAACCACGACCTGGGAAAAACGTTTAAAAATGAAGTATAGGAAACAAAATCCCCACATTAAATAATACAAATTGACTTTTAGCATAAAATGTAATAAAATTGTTCAAGATTCCCGAAAATTGTAAGTACATATAAATAAATTAACATAGTTCATAAGATCGTATTGATCTACAAATTATTATTGAAGAGGCTTATTCAGGTTCAGGAAGAAACAATTTTCATATGCCTTAGTTTTCATATGGAGCCCGTATATGTTTCATAAGAGAAATAATAAAATTAACTTTAAAATCATCGTCAAATGTTAATTATATCATCTCCTCTCAAAAGGCCTTACCCTGAATACCCCCGGCTGAGTTTTGTGTTAGCTGGGTCTCGTCGTGGGACGACCTTCGACGCATACGCAGCTCCTCCCGTGACAGCCCGCCGCCCACGCCGCCGGCGGCCACTTGAGCGGCTGCGGCCGCAGCGGCTTGTGCAGCAGCAGCTGCAGCTGCTGCGGCGGCCCGGGACTGCGCCTGGTGCTGCAGCAGAGCAGCGGCAGCGGCGGATCCTGGCGATTGACCCATGTTGTGAACCACCTGTGGCGGTATGTTTCCCAGCAGTTGTTGGCGAATCTGCTCGCGGAACTCACTGCTCAGCGGCATCGGCGGTTGCTGCTGCTGCTGCTGCGGACCGGAAGCGTTGGAGCTTGCTGACGCATTTCCGGCGCCGGCACCACCTCCTGCAGCGGCGGCGGCAACGGCATTTAAGTTGTTCTGAAAGCGATGTCGGCTGTACTGCAATTCAAGCGGCAAATTGCGATCCAAGGAGCGCATGTGATGCTCTATGGTTGACCGCATGGACTGCTCCACCTGGGAGTTGGAGCTCGATGATGAGGAGGCGTTGTGCAGGGACTGCTGCTGGGCCTGGGCCCGCAGTTGCTTAAGCTCCTCCAGCGACTGTCGTCCCTCGTCCAGGGAGAGGTTCCTTTCGTAGTTTACCGTTCGCAGGTTCACTGATCCGCCGCCCAAGTGACGCGTGCCCGCCGCCAGGCTGGCCTTAAAGCTCAGGTCGAAGTTATTCTGGACAGCCGCCTCGAGACTGCGCAGGTTCATCTGCTCCTGCATGGCCCGCTCCATATTCCGGAGCCCGCTCTCAATGCCTCGCAGGGCATCCTCCGAGCCGAATTCCTCTGTGGGAGATGCCATCGATCGCTGATTGCCGGATTGCTGCTGATTGATCTTTTTGGCCTCACTGGCCCTTGTGGGCGCCGGCGAGGGCACCGGATTCAGGCCGTTTTTGGAGCTCTGCTCACTAAGGGCCGCCACGGCGGACTGAAGCACCAGAGGCGGTGGTGGTGGCGGCATTTCAAATGGATTCGAGCTCCGCCGCGCGGCCATCCCCTCCGCCGACAAGGTCGAATGCTTTTCGGGTGGTGGCGGTGGCTTGTCCTTGAACTTGAGTCCCGCCAGCGGTGAGTTTTGCGCCGAGTTCTGGGCGGAGTTCTGTGTGGAAGCCGGCTTGCGGGGCAGCGGGGGTGGCTGTCTCATTGGTGGCGGCAGACCTGGCACCACCATGGCCTGGCCATCGGGCAGGCTCTTGAGGCTGTGCCGCTTCGGCGGAATCTCTGGTGGGGCCGTTCGATCGCTGGCTCCGCGGGCGGGAATCGCGGGCACAGGACGACTCTGGGTGGGCGGCAGGGGCGGTGGCACGCCGGCCTTGGTGTCCTGGGAGCCCTGCTTCCGCAGCAGCTGCTGGCCCCGCAGCGCCGCCTGGGCAGCCAGCTCCGAGCTGAGCCGCGGTATCTCGGGCGCAAGCTTCGGTCCTGGAGGTGCTCCATTGTCGCCGCTCAAAGTGGGCGGCACTGGGGGCGGTGGCTTGGCCGTCATCTCTGCCTCTCCGCCGCTTTGTGCGTTTCAAGGGATTATCCGGGTTTGGGTTTTGGTTACAAAAATGCTTTTTTTTTGCTTTGAACACTCTACTTGTGCCGCATTATGTGCGTGTTTGGTTAGCGGCTCTCGGCTCAATTAAAGCCGAAATAAATTTATAAAAAGCGTGTATAAAAAGGCGGCACTGTTGACATTGGTAAAATGGTAAATGTTAATGGTAAACACCAGCACATCTCTCTCGCGTTCTCTCCTTCTCTCTCGTGGGATTTCGGTTTGTTTATAAAACGTGCCGGAAACTTAACATTGCCGCAAGCAAATAAACCAAAGAGCAAAACAAATCACAAAAAAAGAGTGTGAAAGTGCTCTTAAAATCACACTCTCTCCTCTTGATACTTTCTCACCCCCGCTCTCACACACTCGCACCAACATCTACAACATTTTCACCACACTTTGTGCCTTTGCCTGCGCCGGCTGGCTCTCTCTCTCTCGTAGCATACTTTTTGGCGCTGTCCGCTATGCCGGCTTATTCGCTTGCCACAGTGAAAACCATGTAAGGGGGGCACTATGTGATTCTATAAATTTAATGCTTTACAAATGCTTTTTATACCCTTGCAGGGTATTATAATTTCAGTCAGAAGTTTGCAACGCAGTGAAGGAGACTTTTCCGACCCTATAAAGTATATATATTCTTGATCAGCATCAACAGCCGAGTCGATCTAGCCATGTCCGTCTGTCCGTCTGTCTGTCTGTCCGTCTGTCTGTCTGTCTGTCTGTCTGTCCGTCTGTCTGTCCGTCTGTTTCTACGCAAACTAGTCCCTCAGTTTTAAGGGGTTATCCGGGTTTTGAAATTTCAAAAAATTCATTTTTTTCAAACTTTTTTATATAATAGTACAAAGTGTCAGAAATGTTGTCCGAAAATTTCAAGTCGATCGAAGCAAAACTGTAGGAATGGGAGAAATTTAAAGCCCTGCGCGTCGTATGAGTCACAACTGGCAATTAAAACTTTAAACATGTTTTTCTCAAAACCACTTTCTTGAAGTCGGTAGTCAAGATTTCTCGAAAACTAATAGACCGATCGACTTAAGATTTTCCACACTTCTTCTAGACATGTTTTTCTTGTCTCTGAACGAAGGATTTTTTATATCTTTAATTAGAACCGATTTTATAACCCCAAATATGGCCAAAATTGACGTAAAAAGTGTAATTTTTCATGAAAAACGCTCCCAAAAATTCAATTTTTAATTTTTAAAAAAATCCTTCGTTCAGAGACAAGCCAGACACATAAGCTAACAGAAAAATTTTGGTTTTTTGATTTCAAATAAAAATTGACGGAGAAATCCTGCCTACCGCAAGGACATAATTTTTTTTAGGGTTAAGTTCAACCCTCCCTCAACGGCTCATTTGTGAATATTTTTTGTTCAAAATTTTACAGAATTTAGTTCAAACCTTATGTATTAATGTAGAATAAATGAAATTTGCAAAATTGTCATAGGATCTTTTAAAAAAATTCTGGAAAACAGGCCTTTTTTTGTGGTTCTAAACCCGGATAACCCCTTAAAGCTATCTGAATGAAACTTTGCATATAGTCTTCTATATGCTCTCACTGCTATATATGTCGGAACGGGCCGGATCGGACGACTATATCATATAGCTGCCATACAAATGCTCGATATATTTTTCGAAAAAAAATTATACCTTTGCTGTTTTTCAATATTTTTGCACCATTTTTTAGATGTGGCCATTAATTATTATTTCTAAATTTTGGTAAAAATTTTATGAAAATCGGACGACTATATGATATAGCTGCCATAGAAACGATCGGGAAATTAATAGGAAAAAAATTATAGCTTTGTTGTTTTTCAACGTATGTTTATCTACTCTGAGATATAAGTTTTTTTTTTATTATTCTAGAATTTTGGTATAAATTTCATAAAAATCGGACAACTATATCTTATAGCTGCCATAGAAGCGATCGGTAAATGTATAAAATATGTAATGCTGGGAATGTAAAACTGTAACTGTCAAACTGTAAACATAATAAGTATAGGTAAAATGTTATGAATCTCTGTTTTGTGAGTATTTTCAGCATTTAAATTTATAATATAAACATCGAAACCAATCTGCAAGGGTATACAAACTTCGGCGTGCCGAAGTTCGCTTCCTTTCTTGTTTTATCTTATTCTTCTCTGTTATATTTCCCAATGTTTTAACCTCTTTAATAAAAAAAAAACTTTTGGTTTTGTAAGTCTGTAAAGTGCGATTGACCTGACATTATACAAATAAGGTATTTTGTAAATTTTCAATAAATTTCTATAAGATGCTCTCAGACCCTCTTTGGGGTAATTTTTATAATTTTACTATAAGTCTAAATTCTTTCTCATTTGAGTCATAACTACGGGTTTCATATTTAAGAAATTCATAATTATTTATTGATATATGGATATCAAAATATACATATTTTTAGCTCTTAGCTTTATTTAATACAATTTGTTCCTAAAAAGTCTCATAAGTATTTTCAATTCTTTATAATTAAATCATTCCTGCCTCTTGGGTCTTTCTAGTCACTGGGTACAGTATTATCCTTATTCTGCATGCGACATTACGAAAAATGTTCACGCAGCTAAAGAGTCTGGCCTGCTGCTGCATTTAAGTTTTGGCACCTGCTCCGGCAACAACAACGGTTCAGGCGCCGCCAGACAAGACATGTAGTGCGCCCTATTGTGCTCCCCGAAAATCCCTGCCACCGAGGCCACCGCCGCCTTGGTGGCAGGTGCATTTAACTTCTGCCAAAGACCCGGACCCAGACCCAAACCCAAACACGGACAAGTGCAGACAACAATGTCGGGACGATGGCCATTTGGCTTACAGCGCATTTCAGTTTCCACTTGTGATTCTTT